CTCCATCCACTGAGCCAAACCGGTTTCGGCCACATTCAGTGTTCTGAGGAAACTCCACACTGTTCTCCAGAATGGCCGCACCGGGCTGCATTCCCTCCAGCATGCGCTGGTTCCCTTTTCTCTACTTGTTGATGGGAGCCGTTCCAGTGGGTGTGAGGTGATACCTCACTGTCGCTTTAGTTTGCATTTCTCTGGTGACCAGTGGCTTCGAGCCTTTTTCCACACGTATGTCCTCTTTAGAGAAGTGTCTGTTTCGGTCCTTTGCCCAGTTGTAAATTGGGTTCTCTGTCTTCCTGTTGGTAAGGGGTTTGCGCTCTCTATACGTTTGGAGATCAACCCTTTGTCCGATGGGAGGGGTGAGCCTCGAGGCCGCAGACCCTGAGCCCAGACTCCCAGGAAGCACGCTGGTCCCCACCCGCAGGTTGCCAGGTGCCCCGCTTTGTGCTGGGAGGGGCCGGGCGCGGGGAGGGGCCGGGCGCGGGAGCGGAGGGCAGTTCTGTTACACCCCAGGCGGAGCCCGTGAGCGCTTCCCCCCTCAGCCTGGGCCGGAGAGGGAGGCTGAGGTGAAGCCCGCACCCCAGGGGCTCCTTCCTGCAGGAGGACGCCTGTGGGCCAGGAGCCCCGGGTTCCCGGGGATGATCCCGGCCGCGGGCGCACCGCCGGGCTCCGCACACGGGCCCCAGCCCTCCGGCCGGACAGCCCAACGGGATCCACTCGCCCCTTGGGGTTGAATTTACATCTGAAATGTCTCCCTCCTCCAGTGCTTTACGGGGGGTTACTGTCCCAGGCGGCATGTGAGTGTTTCCTGCAGGCTTCGGCGAGATCTGGTAAATGGGACGTGGAGGGGCCTTTCCCGGCCGGGCTGGTCGGCGTCGGAGGATTCTCCTCTCCTGAGACGGAGAACTCGGGAGGGACGCGGGGTGTTCGGGAACTTTCTCCCAGAGCCGGGAAGGGACTGAGAAACCTCTTCTCACCGGCGGCAGGCAGGAGAGTGCTCACAGCTGACCCTCACTCCGAAGGTCTGCCCTCTCCTGCGGTGACGGGGTGAGGACCAAGCCGGCCGTCTGGGCCTCGTCGGCTTGGGGGCTCAGCAAAGCAGGACACCCCGGGGGGAGGAACGAAGGACGGATGGCACCGCCGCCACGCCCCGGCCGTGAGCAGCTGGAGCGGAGGGAGGGAAGGCCGATAGGAGACGCAGGCCGGGGGGCTGGATGGCGGGAGGGCCTGTCAGTCACACCTGGGACAGGGCCTTGTTATCGACACTCGTTCTCAAACGTCGGATTCCTGTGCGTTTCCGTTTCTAACTTTACACCTGCGCCTCCTTTCTCTCCCCCTGAATCTGGGTTCGTAGTCATGTTAGCACAGCTGCCTCTTTGCTCACCTGACGTGCATTTAACAGTTTAAAAGCAACCCTGTTGCCCTAACCGGTTTGGCTCAGTGGATGGAGGGTCGGCCTGCGGACTGGAGGGTCCCGGGTGAGATTCCGGTCAAGGGCATGTCCAGTAGTGGGTGTGCAGGAGGCAGCTGATGGATGTTCCTCTCTCATCGATGTTTCTAGCTCTCTATCCCTCTCCCTTCCTCTCTGTAAGAAAATCAATAAACTATATATATATTTTAAAAGTACGTTTTGTTTTTTCCCCCATAGTGTGAGGATTGTGTGTGCTGTCGGGGGTTTCTCTCGCAGGGGGTGCTGGGCTTGCCGGCCCCCGGGTGTCCACGTTGATGTGGGTGTTAGGATTTCCTCGGAAGGCAGCCTGTGGCTGCGGCTTCCAGAGGGTCTCCCATCCGGGCTGCCGAGCGATCGTGTCTCGTCTGCCACACGGGGGGGGGGGGCACCCCCCACTCCTGCTTCTCCCGGGCGCAGCCCCCCCCCCCCCCCCCCCGCAGGCCAGCACCCTGCCCACCCCCCCAGGGTCCCGGCCACTCCTGGTCTTTACCGTTTGGGTAAAAATAAAACATGGATCATTGGGACGTTGACAGGGACTGCACTGGGTCTGCAGATTGCTTTGGATGGTGTTTACGCTTTAACAACATTAAATATTAATCCTTTAACAACTCAGTTTCAGTGATCTCTCCTGGCGTTCTGCAGGCTCAGGCGGGCGCTGCTCGGACCCTCAGGAATCCTCCATCCCTGCTCCACCCGCCCCTCTCCGTGGGCGGCCTGCCCTCTGCCCTCGCCGCTCTGCAGAGGGGAGGGCACCGGCCGCCCCCCCCCCCCCGGGGCCCGGCCGCGGGGCTGGGCGGGAACTGGAAGGAAAGTAAACTGACCTGCCCGCGCCCCCGCCGCCGAGGTTGGGCCGACCTTGACTTGGAGCCCAGATAAGGACGGACAGCGCCGGGTCAGGTGGAACATTAGCCACAGGCCCCGCTCTTGTCCTGAGGACGCCCCACAGGAAGGCCGGGCACCCCGGCAGCAAACAGCCCCCCCCCCACACCTGCAAGGACGCAGTAAAACTCGTCCTGCCCTGCCCACCAGGCCACCCCCACCTCCCAGCAGCAGCCAGGGCGTCCTGCTCTGACCCCCGTCTCCCCCGCACCCCTGGCCGCAGCCCGGCGTGGCCGGCAGGTGGGGATGAAGTCACAGGCGGTTCAGGGACAGAGGGGCCTGGCTCTCCTACGGCAGATCCTGAACCCGGGGTGGCCCCCCCCCGCAGGGGCAGGCACTGAACCCAGCCCCCACCCTCACCCCCAGCAGGGGCAGGTGGGGGAGGGGGGCGGGGAGGAGGGGAGACGGCGGGGCTGGGCCGGAGGAAGGGCTGGGCGCTGTGGGGGGGTGACCCATCCTCCCGGAGGCACCGCCCCCACCGCCAGCCGCTCCTGGGCCAGCAGGGGGCGCCCGGCCTCCACCGCGGCCCGACGGGGCGCCGTCCCGGTCCCGGACTGGCCTGCCAGCCAGCCCCCCCCCCCCCCCCCGCTGCAGGTGGGTGACCCCCGCCCGGACTGGGGGGAGGAAGGGGGGGAGTACGGGGTCGGGGCCCAGGCGCCCAGGCCAGGCGGCCGGAGGGGTGGCGGCGCCGGGCACAAGGGGGCTCCGACACCTGCTGGGCTGGGGGGTCCCAGGGGAGCCTCCCCCTGCACCCCCACCCCGGACAGGCCTCCCAGCCCTACCACCCCCCCCACTTCACCCCCACACCCACCCCATCCCCCTTCATCCTCACCCCCCTCCACCCCCCCCCTCTTCACCCCCAAACCCACACCCACCCCATCCCCCTTCATCCTCACCCCTCCTCACCCCCCCTCCACTCCCACCGTGGGCGCTGGAACCGGTGTGAGGCCTGTGGGAGCCAGAGCAGCTCCACCCGCCCACCCTCCCTCCCTGGAGCCTGCCCGCCGGGAGCAGCCGGGTGAAGGGCAGTTGGCCCTGCCTCCGGGCCGGTGGAGGCGGTGCATGAGCCCGGGCAGTCCCTTCCGGGCAGGGCCCTCCGGTGCGGACTCCTGTGCGCCCCGCTGGCTCTTCGGAGCGCCTTCTCCCTCCCTGCCCCGCACACCTGCCCCGCACACCTGCCCCGGCGGCCCCTCCTGCGGCCTCCGGCCCCCACACCCCATCTCAGCATCAAACTCGCCCCGGCCACGGGCTCCCCGCCTGCTGAGCAGAGGCCGGTGGGAGGGGGGACGGAGGGAAGAGCAGCTGAGAAACCGGGGCTGCCGGACCGTTTACCGTTTACTGTCGGCGTCAGGTCTACAGAGCGGGAAGGCGCGGGAGGGGGTCAGCGATGACACATCGCGGCGGGTCCCCGGACAAAGCGGCAGCCACCCTCCGATAGACACTTGGTTTATTCGTTTCGTATAAAAGGGTTAAGTGTACAACCAAACTTTTATAAAAAGTTTAGCGCGAATGAGGACATCGCTCCACATTGTCTGCGGAAAGGACCTCCCTGCCCCCTGGCCGACTCCGGAGCGCGGCGGGGCTGCACGCGAGATACTGACAGACGACAGACAAGTTCACGTATAAATACAGCGTTGAGTAGGCCTGTGTCCAAAAGGCAAGTTTCTGACCCGGAGACGCCGCTGCGGCCACGGACGCTGGGCCCTGGGGCAGTCCCGCTCCGCCGTCTGACGGCACAGCCCGGCGGGGGCGAGGGTTACAGGCCCGCGGCCCGCTCCCGCGGGGCGAGTGTCAGGAAACCTTCCGCTCCGGAAAGGCGTCAGTCTCTCTCATAAATAACGGGCCTCCCGGGCGGGGCTGAGCCTCCCAGGCTCGTGTCCGTGGAAAAGAGGCCCGTCCACCCCGCTGCCCTCCCGGAGGCGGCTCCTGGGGATGTCGTTGTGCAAAGCGGAGGGGAGTCCTGGCACCTGCAAGAGAGAGAGAGAGAATGAGTGAGACAGAGAGGGAGGGGGGGGAGGGAGAGGGAGGGAGAGGGAGGGAGGGAGAGAGGCGGGCGGTGAGCAGGGCGCCAGGAGGAAGCCGCAGTTTGAACATTTACCCAAACCCCGGGGATTGGGCAAACCCGGCGCCCAGATGCTCGCACGCCCGGCCGACGGCAAACTAAACAGAAAACAGCAGAGGCCCCGCGCGCCCGCCCAGCCCCGGCGGATCCCGGCCGCAGGCGCCGGTCCGCCGGGACAGTCAGGATTGGAAACAGCCTCTCCGCAGGCCGTCCCGGAGGGGGGCCCGGCGGTGAGGTTCGCGGTGAGGTTCGCGGTGAGGTTCAGGCCCGGGGGTGCCTCGCAGCTCGGCCGCCTGGGCATCCCAGCCCGGCAGCAGCCGCACAGCAAGGCCCTTCCTTTCACATTTGATTTTCTTTTAAGGAAAGTGTCCCGTGACCCTGCACCAGGAGTCCCGCGTGCACCGCAGGGCGCGCACGCACATTTCCGCAGACACACGCAGACACACACACACACACACACACGCACACACACACACACGCACGCAGACACACACACACACGCACGCACACACACACGCACGCAGACACACACACACACGCACGCACACACACGCACACGCAGACACACACACACACACACACGCACAGGACAAGGCCCGGCCACTCACCGCCTCAGCCACAGAGCGCCTCGCCGTCGGCGGCCGGGAACTGGGCGGGGGGCGCGGCGGCCTGCGGGGGGGGGGGGCGTCAGCCTGGGGGCCCGGCCTCTCCCGCCCCCGCCCCCGCCCCCGCGGCCCCATCCGACCGCTTAGGCTCAATTCAGCTCAAAGGCAGGCGGCCGCCCCGCCCGCCTCCCCGCCGCGTTTCTAGGAAAGTGAACTTTCTGGGCTCGTCCGCGCCGCCCGGCCGCCCAGCCCACCGGCCCGCGGGCGGCGGGCCCGGGGGGAGCGGGGGTCCCGGGCGGAGGGGTCCCGGGCGGAGGGGGGTCCCGGGCGGAGGGGGGCCCCGGGCGGAGGGGGCCCCGGGCGGAGGGGCCCCGGGGCGGAGGGGGGCCTCGGGGCGGAGGGGATCCCGGGCGGAGGGGATCCCGGGCGGAGGGGTCCCGGGCGGAGGGGTCCCGGGCGGCGGGCAGCGGCCCCGGGCGGAGGGGCCCCGGGCGGAGGGGCCCCGGGCGGCGGGGGCCCGGGCGGAGGGGGCCCGGGCGGAGGGGGCCCCGGGCCTACCTGCAGGGACAGGACGCTGATGTCCGTGTTGAGCGCGGTCAGCGGCGCCCGGGCGGCGCTGGGGCCGGGCCGCGGGCGGTGCAGGCTGGCGATGGCGGGGTGCGCGTCCAGGGCGAGCTGCAGGTCCAGGATGTAGTCGATGACGTGCTGCAGGATCTCCATCCTGCTCACCCGGCGGCCCTGCGGGATGCTGGGCACCAGCTCCTTGAGCCTGGAGTAGCAGGCGTTCATGCTGTAGAGCAGGCGCAGCGGGTCGTCCCCCGGCGTCTTGCTGCGGGCGATGCCCAGGCTGTGGTCCGGGAGGCCGCCCTTCCGCACCGGCCGCACCGGGCTGCAGGCCTTCATGCTGGCCGGGGCGGAGGGAGGCCGGCGGGAGGGAGGGAGGGAGCGGCGCGGACTCAGGCCGCCGCCGCCGCCGCCGCCGCCGAGGGTGCAGCGCCGCGGCCGGATCCGCTCAGAATGAAGCCGGGCGCGCGGCGGGGCGGCTTTTATCCGCCTTCGCCCGGGCTCCGCGGTCCCGCGTCCCCATTGGTGGGAAGCGCCACGTCCATCAGGCCGAGCGGGTGCTTCCATTGGCTAACGTGTGCGAGGGGCGGGGCCTCGGCGCTTCCGCGTCTGCAGCCAATGGGTGCGGGGTGGGCGGGCCGGCGCCAGCTGGGGCGGTAAATAGAGGACAGTGGGCGCCGGGCGGGGGACCGGGAATCCGAGTGCGTCTGGGTTCCCTCCCTCCGCGGCGGGGCCGGGCCGGCGCAGGGTGTGCCCGGCCCTCGGAGCCCCCCGCAGCCCCGGGGCCCCCCGCCGCGGAGGGAGGCCCGCGCCCCCCGGGTGCGGGGACGGCCGTGCGGACGGAAGGCGGGTCGCACAAAGGGAAAACGCACCCACGTTTGCCACGGACCAGGGGCGTTTGTGGGGCGGTTTCCGCGCTCCGACCCGGAGCGCTCTGCGGGGAAACGCACACCCGCGGGCATCAGAGAAGGCGGCCCCGGCGGGGCCCTGCCCGGGCGGCGGGGGCTCCGTGTGAACCCGGCGGAGCGCGGCCCGTGCCTGCGGACGGGAGGCCGCGGGGTCTCAGGCCGGAGCTCTGGGAGGCCGGGCTCCGGGCCTTCCCAGAACCGGGAGGAACCGTCCTGAGGGCCCCGCTGGTCACCCCGCTGGTGGGCGTCATGAGGACGATCTGCCGGCCGAAGCCTATTCACCCCCCGCCCCGGGCTGCGGTGTGCGGGCCCTGCGGCCGGGAGCACAGGGATGGAGTTAATTCTGCGGGAAGAGTGATTTCTGGCGTCACGTTCCCGCACCTGCGGCGTGTTTGAAGCTCCGGCATCTTCATGTGATAATTTTTTTAAAATGCTGTCCCGGGCGAGGTTTGGGATCTTTCAACACGAGTACCGAATGCAGCCTCAGGGCTTTGTTTCTTTTTGTTGTTTTCTGCAAATCCTTAAACACTTATCTCTGTCGTCTGCATCTCTAAAAAGTTTGGGGCTCTCGGCTAAACTACTTTTCCGTTAATTCACACATAATTCCAGCCCAACCAAAGCCCACAGCACGTCCGTGGTTGTTCTGGAAACCAGACTTCTCCCCAGAACACAATCTGCGGGAAAGCCCAGCGCTCATCCCGCGGACGAGAACCTTGTTCACTTATTTTTCTCGATCTCCACCTCCTTCCTTTGCATTTAGCAAGAGGAAAGGGGGCAGGCCTGGAGGAAAACGCTCCGTAATCAGGAAACTATTTTCTCCGATTAATAATTAATTCCTCGGCTGCCAGGCCGGCCAAGTGCCTGCGCCCGGCCTGCTCCGGAGGGCGGCCCAGTGGGTGGTGCTGAGGTGGGTGCCGCTTGCAGGAAACCCAGCGCTTCCTCCTGCTGGAGGCCTGGCTGGTTTCCTGGCTCGGCAGGGAGGTCTGCGGAGGGAAAACAAACCGGCTCCTGCGGACCCCCACCCCGAGCTACCGAACCCCGAGGCCCGTCCTCCCCCCCCCACCCCCCGCAGCCCCAGCCTTTGGGGGCTCCGTGCTCCGTGCTGTCCCAGTCGCGCCACAGGGAACAGACTGTTTTGACACCATCTGGTGCGGGATGTGACACTCGACTGTTTTACAGGAAAAGCAACGTCAACACACACGGCCGGGCCCCCCTCCACCGCCGCTGTGGGCCCTGGACACGCGGCTCCGGGGCTCCGGGGCGGACGCCTTCCCCGCTTTTCCCGGGACGCGGTCTGCCGCCGCCGGGCCCCCTGGCGGTGCAGGAGGCAGGGCTTCGGGCCGGGCCTGCACCCGATGCGCTAGAACTGGGGGTTTCCGGCGGCGGCCGTGCCAGCGTCCAGCCGCCCGGGTGGGTGTGTTAATCCCACCCGAGGGCCCGCCACCGGCTCTACACCCGAAGGTCCCTGTGGGGTCTGCGGCGGGGCCCGCCCCTGGTTTAAAGGCGCCGGTCTCTGGCGGGGCCGCCGCGGCGGGATGAGCTGGAAACCGCCTTTTCCTGGGGGAGCGGGTCCCGGCGGGCGACCGGCCGAGCGGCGCGTCCGGGGCGCTGTGCGCTCTGCCCCCGCCCGCGGGCCGGGGCGGGCGGGGTGAGGGCCCCGGGGGGTGCAGACAGCGCCCCCCACGCCCCAAGGTAAGCAACACGCCGCCCGGGAGGCCGCCAACCGGTGTCCGCGCTGATCAGCCGCGGCCGGCGCCGCCGGTGCCGGAGGCCGGGGCGCCCGGGTCCCCCCGCGCAGCTGCGCCCACTCCGCCCTGACCCGGCCGCTGACGGCTGACGGATGGCGGAGGGGCCGCGGCGGGGCCGGAGCGGGGCCGGGCAGACTCGCTGGCGCCGGGCGGTGGCGCCGCCCATTCCCGCCGCCCCGAGCCCCGTCCGCGCGGCGCCGCTCCGGCGGCTGCCATGGCGACGGCCCGTCACTCAGCGCGCCGGGCGGTCCCGGAGCCCCGCCCCCTCCCCGGAGGCCCCGCCCCCGGCCCCGCCGCCCCCGCTGCCCCGCCCCCGCGCGCCCGCCGCCCGCGCACCTGCAGCCCCGGCGGCCCGGTGCCCGGCGGCCGGGAGGCGGCGGCCCGGTGCCCGGCGGCCGGGAGGCGGCGGCAGGAAAAGGGAGAAAAGGGAGGGGAGACGCCGCCCTTCGGCCGGAGGAGGAGGCGGAGGGGAAGGCGGCTGAGCGGCGGCCGCAGCCAGAGACGCCGCTTTGTTTGCTTTCGCGGCCGGGGGCCGGGGCCGGGGGTCATGGCCGGGGGCCGGGGGCCGGGGCCGGGGGCCGGGGGTCATGGCCGGGGGCCGGGGTCCGGGGTCCGGGGCCGGGGGTGACCTCCCCGGGCGGCGCGGTGCGTTATGGCCGGGGCCGGGGGCCTGGCGGGCACGGCTCCTGCAGACCCCCCCCCCCCCGCTTCCTCCGGGCGTCCCCGGAGGCTGCGCTAACCACCAGGCTTCCCGGAACCGCACCTTCCCCGCCCGGAGGCTGTGCCCCACCCGCCGGCCTCGCCCCCGCAGAGCACGGCGTCCCGGCCCCGCGGAGCCGCCTCCCCGCCGGGGGCAGCGGGCGCCCGGCCCCGCGGCCGGAGCGGGGCGGCCCCGCGCGGTTGTGTCCTCCGCCGGCCCGGGGCCGGGGCCCGGCTGTGCCCCCGGGCGTCTGACTCCGGCGGGAGGAGCCGGACCAGCCCGCCTGGACCGGGACCCGCCTGGAGGGGGCGAACCCCGGGAAGCGGGGGGGCGGGGGAGGTGTTCGTTTAGGGCCCTCGGGGCGTCCCCGACCCGCCTGCCCTCCCCGCGTCCGGGCCCGCAGCCCGGCCCGCCTCAGGGCGGCACCCCGGCCCCGCCCGGCCCGGATCCCCCGCCCCCGCCCGGCCCGGTCCTGCCCCGGAGCTGCACGAGCCCCCCCGGGTGGAGGGCCTGTCCGGCCGCTCAGCCCGGCCCCGGGGTCAGGGGCCTCGGCCCGCGCGCAGCGGCCACGGGGCGGGGGCGCGGGAGGCCCCGCGGCAGGCGCTCAGCTCCGGGCGGGGAGGCGCTGCGGCCTGTGGCCGGGCAGAGGGGCTCCGCCTGAGGCGGGAGAGGAGCATCCCTCCGCCCGATAACGGCTGAGGACGTCCCGCCGCCTCCCAGTGTGCACCCCGGCGGGCGGCTGGGCCTCCCCCACGGGGCGCCGGTCCCGGAGGGGGACCCCGACCGCTGACCCCCCTGCACGCCCCCAGGTCCCCCAGGCTGGCCCAGGCCCCGGTCCTGTAACCGGCCCCAAACAAACCCGGAGGCCCTAACCAGAACCACATGGTGCGTCTGGCCCGAACCGCGTTCGCAACCGGCCATGCGGTGCCGGAGCCAAACCCATGACCTCAGTGGGGAGGCGCCCTCCCCCCAGGCTGCCCGGGGCGCCCCGCTGCCGCCCACACCCCCATCAGGGGCGGGGGGGGGGGGGGGAGGGCTCCATGGACACGTGTCCTCTCCGGTGGGCTGGGGGAGAGTTTTGTTTTTAAAATGCTTTGACACCCTTGCCCTCCGGCTGGCGTGGCTCGGTGGTTGGGCCTGTGAACCCGGAGGTCACAGTTCCGTTCCCACTCAGGGCACATGCCCCGGGCGGGCTCATCCCCTGTGGGGGGCGTGCAGGAGGCAGCCGACCCATGAATCTCTCTCATCACGGATGTTTCTGTGTCTCCCTCTCCTTTCCTCTCTGACATCAATAAATGTATATTTTAAAAACAAGTAAATAACATAGTTGGATACCCTCCACTTTCCCCTACTCCGTTCTTCCAAGCTTTCACTCCCAGATTCTGCCCCCATTCCTCCCCCCAGACCCTTACCTTCCCAGTTAGAAGTCCCTGGGGTCCTACAGCCCCAGCCACGGGCCTGACACATGTGTGCAGGGCGGGGGCGGGGGCAGGAACCTAGGGCTGCACCCTCGGGGAGGGGGGACAGTCCCCGGGCGCCTGTGGTCAGCTCTGGGGGACGGGGGCACCTGTGGTCGCTCTGAAGGGGGGGTGTCCTGCCATCTTCCCATGCTGCTGACCCTCTGAAGCCAGGGGCCTGCTCCTGCCCGGCTGACCGCTGTGGCCGGAGGAAAGGCCGTGTGCGTTGTCATGTACTTTCCAACCGCCCTGCTTCCGCGGAACCTGAAGGACAGACATTCCATTTCCGGAAAGAGCAACTGTGGCCTCCTGGCAGGGCGGTTAACCATTCACCGGGTGAGAATGGCTCACCGTGACCCGCCTCCCGGTCAGGCCGGGCACCCTGGTGAGAATGGCTCACTGTGACCCTCCTCCGGGTCAGGCTGGGCGGGAGCTGACCATCTCAGGGAGAGGGAGGCGCAGGTGAGCAGTCCGAGGGTGGCACCAGGGGTGGGCAGACCGGTGCCACCTTCACCCCTGGTGGGCA